CGGTTGCATCCGTATGCAAACTGCACCCATTGATTGTTAACTCGTTTGGACGATGAAATTGGTCATATATCGTATTCTTTTATGAATAATTGGTTCTTATTTTGTACAATGTTTAATTTTTTGATATCCTGTTAGTTTTATTTTACTTTTTTGATATTTTTACATATTTTCTAGATAGAACATTTACCGATTTGGACTTATATTTTGTGAATAGTCATAAGCTTTCGATGAAGTCGATGTTTTGTGAAAATTGGATATCTAAACCAAATCTTATGGATATTAATTAATAAATAATAATTAGATATCCAAAACTAAATCTTATGGATATAATTAATAAAAATTAATTATATTGTAACTTATATATTGAGTTCTTATGTGAATAGTCCCTACCCGTCCCTGTTCTGGGGTGCCACCTAGGCGGCTAGACCCCGAAAATGCCTTGGCGCCCCGCCTGTGCTTTTTGAATATTGGTTGGAAAATCTTTTGAAAAAGATATTATGTCCTTATTTTGTAGGAGTTGGTTATTTGAAAATATGTTTGTATATATTATTTTTCATCTTACAATTTTATGAGAAATAAAAGAAGTTTTAGAATATTGCTTTAGATTGGTCTGATCCTAGTTTTACTAGAAGTGGATATGGGTCAAAAGATTTAGAGGATAAAGGTCCCTATATTCCTCTTGAAATCATGATGCGAATTTATTTGATGGATGACTCAAATTTAATCCTCACAGATTTCCAAAAATCATATTGTTCATGACGGGCCAGTTTGATAACTGGAAGCAAGTTCAGGAACTGTAAATTGGAAGTTCTTAAGTTCTGTGAACTTAAGAAGTTCCTGGTTTCTGTGTTTGATAACCTCCCTAGGAAGGTAAGAAGTTCCTGGTTTTTGTGTTTGATAATCTCCTGGGAAGTTAAGAAGTTACTGGTTTTTGTGTTTGATAACCTCGTGGGAAGTTAAAAAAGAACTGGGTATCTATATTAGATTAGAAAACGATTGGCTTTCATCCCATTAGCAAGACTTACATTTTTCATATGTCCACCACTAACACCACATGAGAAAATTGCATTTTGGTTTCCAAACCGGCCTATAGTCCTTACTAAAAGAAATATCATGGGGGAGATATCATCTTGAAGTTTTCCAAAATTAGTGGCAGTCATGTAATTTTTATAAAGCGCATATCATTTTGAAGTTACCTAAATCAGTGGCAGTCATGTGACTTATTTTCTGTTGCTTTTTTTTGCGAAGAATAGGTGCACTTTGTTTCTTTTTTTGCAAAGAAGTATGGACAGGCATGAAGACAAACAAAATCCATAGAGAAGTGTAGTCTACCTTTGTGAGATTTGTAGTCTCTATCTGATTCTTGTAACAATTTTTTGTTTGAACGATTTTGTGTTTCCACGATTTTGTTTTTGTGTATTCACTTTTTCAATATTTTTTTTTTGACAACTTTTCTCAAAATATATAGTACTGATAAACAGTGAAATGAAAAATGCAGAATGCTTCATATCATGGGATTGGAACCAAAATGATCTTTTCAAAAAAAAAAAGAAAATGTAAAATGCAGAATAGAATGAATTCACTAATCAATGAACATTTCAAGATTGCATGCTATGTGGCCCAATACATAAACTACGAGTGAAGTTTGAGAGTCAGAAGTGCACAAAAATATGCAAGACACTTGGGGTCAAAATATTGAAACTCTATGGAGGCATTAGATGTTTTAGAAAAGGGATGTATAATATCCAATGCGCTACAGAAAACTATACTCTATTGGGGTAATCCACATTTGATTAAATTATGAGTGGTGGTGAAGAGGTAGGACCCACCATTGTGATCATATCCTGTTCTAGGGGGTTCCAGTCCCTCTTTATACCATTTATCATTTCATTGGACGAGGACCACCCCATGGAATATGCAAATGAGTAGCCATTGGATATATTATATGCTTCCATTCTAGAGATGTAATAACAAATCATAACATGTAATAACTTCAGCACTGATGCATCTGTATCAAGCAACATTCACAATTGATGCGTCCATTAAAAAAAAACTATGTACAAAACGAGCCCATTCAACAATTAACCTGTAATAGTTTAAACATACATAATTCAAAATACAAGAACTAAGAAATCAACCCATTCAAACACACATGCACAATGCAAGTAGTACGAAATCAGCCCATTCAACAATAACCTGCAATAACTTGAGCGTTACATATATTCAGTATTGATGCATCTGTATCAAGCAACATTCACAATTCATGCACCCATAAACAATAACCTGT